GAAGATTGTGTGTTGTATACTGCCTAATGTTCAGCAGTTCATCCCTGGTAAAACTGATCGTGTTTGAGAAACAAAAAACAGGAAAAACGAACAAAAACAGTACAAACACTGGAGAGCCAAGCACTGAGGCGGCCGTGTGCGGCGCCATCTTATCTTATTCCCTATTATTAAGAGTTTTCCATGAACAAACTCCTAATTAGTGGTCGACTGATACTGTTTTTTTGACAGCCGATGCCGATATCTTGGAAAGCAGGGTTGCCGATGACCGATATAATTTTATTTATTTTATTTAATATTTAAGAAATTTGAAATAATTTGTAAATGGATTAAAAAATAAATGTGTAAAATAAACATGCTTATACTTTAAATTACAAAGTATTTTTCACAAATAAACAAATATTTAATACAAATATAATTTAAAAGGAAGTAAACACTGTAACCAACAGGGCACTCAGTATTCTGGGAAGTTTGTGTGCATTGGGAATCACATTTTTTTCAAATAAAGCCAAGGTAACACTCATTTTACATACAGCACACAATGAAAATTACATTAATATGACATTGGGCAAAAACATGAAGCGCAGCATAATTTGAAATCACGAGTTTGTCGATCGCGCGTATCAGTGAAGCTGAACTCTCCTCCTGTCCGTATTAAATGGGCTAGTTGCATATCTCCGCCATCTTGGATTTCCGGTCTTGCGAGTGTGTGCATAGATACTTCCGGTTGTGCTAAATGCCAGTGCAGAGAACCGGAGAAATCCAAATATTACCTTCTATATATGTTTTACAGGATTTATAATATCACTTAAAATGCAAATAAGATCTACACCGCTATTATTACTATACTATAAATGTTAACTGAGCCAGTGCATTTGAAACTTACGCATGTTTGGGTCCTGTGAATGAATGAAATAGGCCTACTCTAATCCCTACTGTTTACAGAATGAAAGTTGAACATGGTGTTTACACACAGCTACACAATGACTTTTTCCCTTACCAATTATGTAAATGTACAAATTACTTATTTCTCGAAAATGTTTGTATTACATTGATTGAAGTCATTGATCATTGATCATTGATACATTGATCTTCATAAATATCCATTTCTCAATTGTGCACATACATCAGTTTTCCATTATCATTTTCACAACATATTTTAATATTTTACACACAGTTAACTTTGCGTCAAACATATTTTTTAAATAAAAAAAATTAAAAAACGGGCTGTAAAAGGATACAACTAATACATGACTAATTTAAAGATTTGTTTTATCTGATAATTAATGCAAAAGAAATCGTAAAAATATACATGCGATGCTTATAGACAGATAATTATTTATGCAACAGATCTTTCACAAAACATGTAAATATGAATAAAAACGCACAGGTAATGCAAACACTGATCTTTTAATTAATGCCAACCTACCATAATTACATTGTTAAATTGTATAGTTACAGTTATAAATTATATTATCAAATAAAATTAATAAAACATACATGCAGAAATCTCTGAGCGTCTCATTTGACATTCGCAAACCTAATGATCATATAAATAGCAGTCAGAACAAAATCAACTCTCCGAAAATGTACAGTATTGCACGTTTGAGTGGTTTGTGTTTGAATGAAGAGATCCCTGTGGACTGACTAACCACTGACGCTCAACCGCAAAATCAACAGTAGAAAGAATGAAGAAATCTCCGCATTGTATCTTGATGAATTTCCACACAGAGGTACGCAATAATCTAGGGAGGATGTTTTCTCATGTCTTTGATATTTTCATATGTAAGTTTCGTATGTAAGTTTCCCCTTACAGTAAATGAGAACGTCGCAAGACCGGAAGTAAGTATGCACACACTCGCATCGCTGAAGCTCACCGGCACCGCGCCATCTTGTGCACCGAGCCCATTCGCACGGACCGACCGTCATGCAGAGAACACGCGATCATGCAGGATACAAATGCACACTTCATAAGATCTCACAGCTAGATTCGACTAAGTTTGCAAGGTTTTTGAAATTAGATGTTCATTAGTCATTCAAAGATTTGTTTAAATTATATAAATGCGTATTTGCTGAATGCTGACGGCAAACGAGAAAGTATTATAATGTTTGCCTTTCTATTACTAACAATATAAAAGCAATCGTTATAATACTTTTTTGTATACATTTTAATAACTTTGTTTAACAGTTCTATCTGATTATTAGACGGATTATTAGGTCCGTGGACAGAACTGTTAATGACGACAGCGAACAAGAGGGAGAATGTGAGCACTGTGTAGTGATGGGTCGTTCTTGAACGATTCGTTCATTTTGAACGAATCTTTAATGTGACTCGGGAAGAACGAGTCGTCTCGTGGAGTGATTCATTCAGTCGCGCATGCGCAACATCCTATAGGTTCTGTACTGGAATTAGTCAAGTAGTTCACCTGTTTCGAGTCTTCGGGTTTTTCGAGTCGTTCGTTCATCACATGACAGACCCATAAGCTTAACCTATGCAGTCTGAGCCGGAAAGAGAATTGATTAGTTCATCTCTCGAGTCTTCGGGTTT